TTCGGCACCCCAGATGTTCTGGACTACATCCCCCATAATGCTGGCAAAGCGTCATGGGAGGTGTAGTCCAAAACATCTGGAGTGCCAAAGGTTACCTATGCCTAGTATATACCATCCCTTGACAAATACTATTGTAACAATATAATCAAAGTTATTCACTTTACCTGTCAGTGCGTTTTCTGTTGATGCTGATCAGTGCATAATATATCTCACATGTTCCCACAGTCACATTACCTCTGGCTTTCTGTACTCTGGGTACATTGTTGATTTGTTGATACTTGGGTCTGTACGTTTAGATTCCACCCCATTACTGACAGTAGGATGAGATACTTTGTGTTAGTTCCCCATGCCAGGGTCATAGCCTCTGCAACATCAGCATAAGGCCCAGAGGAGGCGGGCTGAAAGCTAGCCGGATAGGAGGCATGTGTGGGTGTGGTGGGTGTAGGTGTCATAAGTGGGTGTGTCAATTAGAGTAAGGGATGGGTGTGGTCCTTTATATACCAGTCATTTTGTCTCCCTTACCTCAGCCATCTTAGATTTAACGGCGTGGTAACATCTCTGCATCCTCCTGTACTTACCACTGCTTGTCAAACGGCCAAGGGTATGGATATTGATGCAATCCTCGCTGCCCTCCGGGCTGAGGCCCTTCAAGATGGAGGACGGCACCTGCAGTCACAGCTAGTACGCCTGCAGGGTGCTCCTAGTGTGGCTGCTCCCTCTAATGGCAGCCCTGGGAACCAGGGTGCTGATTTTGTGGCTGCTCCCTCTAATGGCGGCCATGGGAATCAGCGCCGTCGCGCACGTCCCCCTGCCCGGTATAGCCCCTCACGGGAGGGTCGGGTGAGGGAGAGGAGTAGGAGCCCTGTTGCAGGCCCGCGCGCCGGTTCCTCCGCGGCCAGCACCTCCTCCCGTGTGTCCACACGCCGGATTGCCGCCGGTCATGCCGCATCGCGGCTACCACCCCCCCCGGTCTCGCGGTCTCGGCGGAGGTCGGCCGCGAGAACACAGCACCTCACCGCACAGCGGGCACTAATCACCAGGTCGGCCTTGGCGGGATCAACGGCTGTGCAAGGGCGGGTAGCCCGCTCTCCCGGTCGGGTAAGTAGGCCGCTGGTCGGCAGGGCTGTCTCCAGGGGGGTGGGGGGTTCTGGGGCACTGGGCAGGGAGTATGCTTCCCCTAACTTACCTCTCAGGCCTCCCCCTGCTCTCCCTCCACACTCTGTCTCCCCTGGAGCTGCTCCTGCGCCTGCTCCACTGTCTGCTGGACCTGTCCCTGTGGCAGCTGGGTCACACTCTGCCCCTCCACTTCTCCCTTCCTCCTCAGCTGCCCCCATCATGGCTGGGGCCCTTTCAGGGTCTCCTGGGCCTGCCCCTCTCAATTTCCCTGCCTTGCCCGCTGACCCACTCATAGCTGGTGCCCAGCTTGCCCCCCCTGGCCCACTTCAGACCACGTTGCCCCCCATTCATCCTGCCACTCTTACAGCAGGGGCCCATTGTTCCCCCACAGGGCCCTCCCCTACCGGTTTCGTTTCTACTGGGGTGGGTGGGCCGGGGTCCATCTCACCTGTGTTGTCTTCGCAGATTACTCCTGGTAGGCTCTCGGTTCGTTTTGCTGACGTTGCGGCTGGTGCAGATCCTCCTGCAGTCGCTGTTCCAGCTGGACCACCACAGTCTAGCGGCCAAGTCGTGGCTCCACAGATGGCTTCACCTTCGGTTCCCGCCAGTGAGTATATTAGTTTACAGGGTTTGGGGCCGGGGTGTGTTAGCGCAGTCATGCCAGAATGGGATTCGTTGCTGCAAACTATGCGACAGGTTTTGCATTCTTTGGAAAAGGGCCCCCCCTCTGGGGCCCCCCTCACCTCGACTTTAGATAACCAACTTAGAACGGGTTGGGCGACTAGCGGAGGGTCAGGTGTCCCGCCTTCTACTTCGGCTGTCTCAGGGGGGCCTACTGCCCTCCTAGAATCTTTGCCTGCCGCAGGAGAGCTCGGAACCCCCGTGGGGTCAACAGTGACCCCCACTGCGGTTCAGGACTTGGGGGTTGCACCCGCTGCGCACAGGGCGGCTTACATGTGTTGGTCAGGCCCCCTGGGCCTCCATTTGACAGCTGAATTGCGGGCCAAGATAGAGAAAGGGGAATTTGTCGAAATATTTTCCCTTCTCCCTATGGAGGACTTGCCTCGGGTTGATCCTGCAGCAAAGGAGTCAGAAAAGGAGAAAGAGAAGTTTCGGTATCGGAAGATACCAAAAACTTTTGGGAATTGGATCAGGGCCTTTTCTATCCTGGCTAGCGTTATAGGGGGAAAGACTCCCAACAAATGCTCTTCTCTATTTTGCTACCAGGATATGATCTGGAACGCGTGTCGGGTTTATGGCGGGTTAGGCTGGTGGCGGTATGATGAACAATTCCGCCAGCGCCTAGCGGTGCGCCCTTCCCTGAGTTGGGATCAAATGGATATCGGCTTGTGGTTGGCCATCATGACCCATCCCGCTTCACATCAGGGGGGCCTGTCGTCCTTTCTTGGGGGGGCCGGCGCAGGGTCCTCACCCTCCGCGTCGGCCACTCAGCGTAGAACAGGTTGCTGTTGGCAATTTAACGACGGCCAGTGTAAATTCGGAGCAAATTGTCGCTTCAAGCATGAATGCTCCGGTTGCGGCGGGTCCCACCCCGCTTCTAAGTGTTTTAAGCGGGGTAAGTTTGGCGACAAAGGGGATGCCATGGGCGCTAAGGGCGAAGACGCCGGTGGACGTCGTCGCGATGCGTCCGTGGCTAAAACGTTATAGGAACAAAAAGGCTGCTGCCTTGCTCCTGGAAGGGTTTACTCATGGTTTTTGGATTCCCCATCGGGCTCGTTCGCCCTCAGGGTCGTGTCGGAACCTGCGTTCCGTTGCTGAACACCCGGGGGTGGTAAAAGACAAGCTGGCTAAGGAAGTGGCATTGGGCCGCATGGCTGGCCCTTTTTGTGAACCCCCCCTTCCTGACCTTCGGGTATCGCCGCTAGGCGTCGTTCCCAAGAGAGAGCACGGAAAATTTCGGCTAATTCATCATCTCTCGCACCCCCAAGGGGGTTCCGTGAATGATGACATTGCGGCGGAGCTATGCCGGGTTTCATACGCCTCGTTTGATACTGCGGTTGGTATGGTTAGGGCCGCGGGCCCCGGTGCACTGATGGCAAAAACCGACATTGAGTCAGCTTTTCGCCTCCTGCCGGTTCACCCGGAGTGTCATCATCTGCTCGGCTGTTCCTTTGAAGGGCAATTTTACGTGGATATGTGCCTCCCGATGGGTTGTGCAATATCCTGTTTTTATTTTGAATGTTTTAGCTCCTTCATGGAATGGGTAGTGAGAGCTGAGTCTGGCTATGACTCAGTGCTTCACTATTTGGATGATTTTCTTTGTGTGGGTCCCGCAAACTCCCCGGTATGCGCGCACATTTTGCAATCGGTAGCCGACGTGGCCTGTGGGTTCGGCGTGCCTCTGGCGCCCGATAAGACGGTGGGCCCTTCCCCGTGCTTGTGTTTTCTTGGAATTGAGATCGATTCGGTTATTGGGGAATGTCGCCTCCCGCCGGATAAGTTGGAGGATCTGCGGGGGGCTGTGCAGGAGGCGATCTCCCTCCGGAAGATTACTTTACAACGGCTTCAATCCCTTCTTGGCAAGTTGAATTTTGCATGTCGGATTATGCCTATGGGTCGAGTGTTTAACCGGCGCCTAGCGGCCGCCACGGCAGGAATTGTAAAATCATTTCATTTTATCCGCTTAACCAAAGTGCTCAAGGAGGACTTGGCAGTATGGATGGTTTTCTTAGATGGGTACAATGGCAGGTCCTATTGGCAACAACCAGAGGTGTCGAATTCTGTGCTACACCTGTTTACTGATGCGGCAGGTGCATCAGGATTTGGGGCTATCTTAGGGACGCAATGGTGCGCGGAACCTTGGCCTGAGGCTTGGGTTGCTGCTGGCCTTACAAAAAATATGGCCCTCCTTGAGCTCTTCCCCATCGTGGTGGCAGTTCATTTGTGGGGAATGGAGTTCAGGGACCGGCGCGTCGTCTTCCATTGCGATAACTTGGGGGTGGTGCAGGCCATTAATAATCTAAAGGCCTCCTCCCCTCCGGTGGTCAGGCTCTTGCGGCGTCTGGTCTTACGATGCTTGTCATTGAACGTTTCATGCCGCGCTGTGCACATTCCAGGTGTTGTGAATACCACAGCTGACGCTCTCTCTCGTTTCCAATGGCAGGTATTTCGATCGGCTGCTCCGGAAGCGGATCTGGAAGGTCTCTCCTGTCCCGCAGAACTCTGGTCCCTTGGCCTGAGCGAATAAGGGAGTGGATACGGTCGTCGGTATCAGAGGCAACATGGGTCCGGTATGGTAAGGCATGGGGTGATTGGGTCGCACTGGAACAGGATTGCGGTGGGTTCGGCTCCTCTGACGAGAGGGTCCAGGGTCTGTTACGGTTGCTCTGGTTCTGGGAGGCTAGCGGGTGTTCCCCAGCTACGGTGTCAGGGAAGCTCTCAGGCCTTAGTTTCTGGTTCAATTTAACCCAAGTACCCGATGTGACGAAACACTGCATGGTGAGGCTTGCGATGCGCGGTTGGCGAAAAGGCCCGATGGTGCGGGATACTCGGAGGCCGGTTTCGGGCGCGCTCCTGTTAGGGATCGCCTCGGTTCTCCCCCAGGTCTGTTTTTCAACTCCGGAGGCTAGATTGTTTTTGGTGGCGTTTACTTTCGCCTTTTTTGGGGCTCTTCGGGTCGGAGAACTGGTGAGCCCTAGCAGGGGGACCCCTGGGGGGCTTTTATTTCAGGGCGTGTTTGTCACGGGTACTACGGTGCAATTTTTGTTGCGCCGGTCCAAGACCGACGTTTTTGGCAGGGGTAAGTGGGTTACCCTTCGTGCCATTCCGGATTCGGCAGTTTGCCCCGTCTCGGCATACCTATCTTACAGTTCCAGGCGACCAGGTTTCTCCGGCCCGCTGTTAATTCATGAAAATGGTGCCTACTTATCTCGATTTCAATTTCTCAGGGTATTTCGCCTGGCCCTTGATCGGCTGGGAATCCCGAGCAAGGAGTTTGGGGGTCATTCCTTCCGCATTGGGGCCGCAACCGAAGCCTCTCGGTTGGGTTTCTCTGATCAGGCTATTCAGAGGATTGGCAGATGGGAATCTGGGAGGTTTCGTTCCTACGTACGGCCCACGCGGCTAATCGGTTCCCCTCTTGTGTTTTCTCCACAGGGCCCGGCCGTAGGATCTGGCTGATTGGGCATTCGTACATCTATTGGGCCCATCTGCGGGCTGGGGTACGCCCGGGTGGGACACGCCTTGGAATTCCTCGGGAGCTGGCGGAGGTCCGATGGTTTGGTTTCTGGGGCATGAGATGGGGCCAGCTCTTGCCGGAGGTGGTACAGCTGGCCACTTTCCTAGGGGCGCCTGATGTATTGGTGGTTCACTTGGGTGGCAATGATCTGGGGGTCCTGCCTGCTTGGGGTTTGGGTGAAATGATTAGAAGGGATTTAGCGCGCTTGCGAGTTTTGTTCCCGCAGCTTTGTTTAGTTTGGTCTGGGATAGTGTCCAGGAACTATTGGGGGCGCGCGCGCGCGCGATCAGGGGGCTATTGAACGATGCAGGGTAAAAATTAATAAAAGAGTGTCAAAATTTGTGCTCGGCGTTGGTGGCATTTCGGTGCGCCACCGAATATTTGAACGTGACGCGGCGATATATTTTCGCCCGGACGGGGTCCACCTGACCGATGTGGGGTTGGATTTCTTCAACCTAGCTCTGCAGGATGCGCTGGAACAGGCCATGGCATTGGTGGGGGGTCGCGCCTGCTGATTTAGGCTTAAATGCAGCTGGCGCTAGTGGCGGGTATGGTCCTTGCCGAACCAGTGGAAAAGGAGTGCATTGGACGAAGGAATGCTGGGTCTGGTCCCTCCCTTAACCTCGGGCAATGGTTTGGTATTTGGGCGTGCCCTCCGTGCCAGGAAAAGCGGCCAGGGGTTGGCATGGGGAATTGGAGGGCCAAGGTG